AAATACAACATTGTTTAGTTTGGCGTAAATGCAAGTGTTTGTAGAGAAAGCAATTATATATAATTAATACAATCAATTAATTAATAATATTAACATTAATTAATTAATATAATTAATTATATTAATTAATTATATTATATTAATGTCAATTAATTAATTAACCATTCGAAGCAACAAAAAATAAAAATCTAACTAAAGATTAAAATAAAACTAAAATAAAATGAAGATAAGATTAAAAGTAAGAATAAAATAAAACAATTAAACTAAATTAAATTAAATTAAATTAGATTTAGTAAACACTAAACAAATATAATTAAAAAATAAAATAAATAACGCCGTTTATTTTATTTTATTTATTTTAATAAATAAAATAAATAAATAAGTTAATTAACAAGAATGATGTTCCAAATGAAAATAACATAACTGAATAAATAAAATAAACAAATAAATAAATAAATAAATAAATTTAATTAATTAATTAATTAATTAATTAAATTAAATTAAACTAAATTAAACTTACAAACTTCCAAGAGTTCGGCTGTATGCCTCTTTGTAGAAGTACTTCTCTATTAGTTGCTTCTTCTTCTCTTTCTAGAGCCTTTTCAATCTGTAATATTTGTACAAGTGCATCTACATCAACAGGTTTATCTGTCTTCTCTGCTAATCTCTCTAAACTTTTTCTTGCTTCTACATAATCTCCACGACTCACAAGAAAACGAGGGCTTTCAGGCAATACCCAAACCTCCCCCACTATCTGCACACAAACCCTAAACCCTAAACCCTAAACCCTAAACCCTAAACCCTAAACCCTAAACCCTAAACCCTCAAACCCTAAACCCTAAACCCTAAACCCTAAACCCTAAACCCTAAACCCTAAACCCTAAACCCTAATCCTAGAACCCTAAACCCTAAACCCTAAACCCTAAACCCTAAACCCTAAACCCTAAACCCTAAACCCTAATCCTATCCCCAGTTATATTGGAGCAGTTATACTACACAATTCATAACCAACACAAACCATATATCAGACAACGCAAACCCTAAACCCTATAAACCCTGGATAGAATTAAAGAGGTCTAGGTTTACTAGGGTTTTAAAGGGTTTAGGGTTTAAAGAGTTTAGGGTTTAAAGGGTTTATTTGGGTTTAAGAATGACTATTAGGGAATAAAATGGTTTATTAGGGTTTAAAGGGTTTGGGTTTAAATAGGTTTAGGGTTTATTAGACTTTAACGGGGTTTAAGGGGGCTTAAAGGGTGTATGAGGGTTTACAAGGGTTTATTGGGGTTTTAAAGGGTTTAAAGGGTTTAGGGTTTGAGGGTTTACAAGGGTTTAAAAGGGTTTATAAGGGTTTATAAAGGTTTATGAGGGTTTAGAAGGGTTTCATTAGGGTTTAGAGGGTTTGATGAGGGTTTACTAGGGTTTATAAAAAGGGTTTAAGATGCCTCCATCAGGGTTTATGAAGAGGGTTTATAAAAAGGGTTTACACGTAAGCATTACGGTCTTTTAAAAGGGTTTATTCTAGGGTTTATTTTATTTAAAAGGGCTTATTCATTAGGGTTTAGGGTTTAGGGTTTAGGGTTTAGGGTTTAGGGTTTAGGGTTTACCTGCAGCGCAGCTACAATCCCCGCAGCGCCCATCATTACTTTCCAAGGGGTCCCCCCAAATATTGCAGCCAACACATACGCAAACATACAGCCTAAACAAACAGCAGCAGCAGCAGCAGCAGCAGCAGCAGCAGCAGCAGAAGCAGCAGCAGAAGCAACAGAAGCAACAGAAGCAGAAGCAGAAGAAGCAGCAGAAGCAGCAGCAGCCACACAAATAAAAAGAATTGAGGGTAAACACTACAAAATATATAAACATATAGGCAATAAACAAATATATATATTATATATAATTATAGTTAATAAACCCTAAACCCTAAACCCTAAACTCTAAACCCTAAACCCCAAACCAGCACTAAAGCATGCAAAAAGCACCAAAAAAAGCAGCAGAACCCCGAAACAAAGCCCCAGTCCCCAGCCCCCAACCCGTAAACCCTAAACCCTAAACCCTAAACCCTAAACCCTGAAAAGAAGAAGAAGCATACCTGAGCACTGCGCAACCTCTTGGCATGCAACAAGAATGCCTCGAAGAGCATTAGGAGCAATCTCGCACATATATGTTGCGTAAACTACAAACCCCATCCCTACTCCTAAGCCGACGAAGAAGCGGCCGGCTAAGACAAGCTGAAGAAAGAGACAGATATTATTATTAAACAAAAGAGCTGCATATACACCCCAATTAAAGCAGTAATATACCTACTTATCTATCCTTAACACCTATTATAAAACCCGTAAAGTTTAACCTTCATAAATAAGGGTTTAACCTCTGTTTAAACCATACTCTACACCAGGCCTAGCTAGTATCTATCCTAGGGTCTAGTGTTTAGGGTTTAGGGTTTAGGGTTTACAGCGAAATTGTATCCAAGTGCAAAGCAAACAGAAGCAAGAAGAAGAAATAAATCGCTCAGCAATAACCCGGGTCTTCGCCCCAATCTGTCTGCAACAAAACCACCAACGGCGCTTCCTACCTAACACCAAACACGCAAACCCTAAACCCTAGAACAAACCCTAATAAACCCTAATAAACCCTCATAAACCTTCACAAACCCTCATAAACCCTAATTAAAGAAGAGACCGGGGAGAGGGAAGATACTGTGCTAATAACAAAGGGTTTTTTCAGAAGCATGAAGGGTTTAGGGTCTAGGGTTTAGGGTTTAGGGTTTAGGGTTTGGGGTGTATGTACGTACGACAGCTCCAGGTGCGAGAATAGAAACGAAGAGGGTTTTCGCTCCACAAGAAAGTTTATCACCACATAAATTGAAATGTCTGTCTACAGGATCCAGAACAACAGCAACAATACACATATCATACCCCATTAGGAGGCCTGTTAGAGCAGCAAATGCTGCAACATAAGCAAGAGCGAAGGACCCCCAGCGGCAGCAAGGCATGCGAGAGCAGAAGCGGCTGAAGCGAGTAGGGTTTTTCTTATCCTTTGCTTCATCTTCTGCTGCTTCTCCTCCTCCTGCTGCTGATGATGCTGCTGCTGCTGCTGTTGCTCCTGGAGCAGCTTCTGATCCCGTGGCTTCTGTAATAGACCCGGTGTGTGGATCTGCTGCTGCTCCCCCTGCTGCTGCTGCTGCTGCAGGGGGTGGTGGTGCTGCTGCTGCTGTTGCTGCTGCAGGTGATGTTGGTGATGGTGCTGCTGCAGGATCTCTTGTATGCGCTCCTGCTGGTGCTGCTGGTGCTGCTGCTGGTGCTGTTTCTGCTGCTCCTTGAGAAGTAGCTGTGGCTGCAAGGTCTTGAGCAGGCGGATGATGCACCGGCTGTTTGCATGTACCCGCTTGAGGGAGAGAAGAAGCACAGTATAAATCGGGTGCTGCTACGCTGACGCAGTTCTGAGGAAGCTCATCTTCTGCTGCTCTTCTTTGATGCACTCGAGGGCGAAGAAAGGAGAAGAAAGTCTTTCCTCGCGCCATGGTGGCAGAAGGTAAAAAGATTGCAAAATCGCTGCACGGCGCTGGGGTGTCTAGGCAGGGTGAGCGGACGGGAAACCGAAGGAAATTAAGAAGAAAATACACGAACACGCTGCTTTCTTAAAAGAAATAAGAAGAAGGAAGCTAAGAATCTGCAAAATACAGAAAATAATGCAGCAATTTATGCTCTTTCCTTAGGCAAGCCCTCCTTCGGTGTTGCGCTGCGTATACACCTCAGACAGAAACAAGCAAAGAGCTACACAACTGAAGAGAAGACAGAAGAATTATATAAACAAACACCAACATGCAAGATAAACAGAAAAATATAATCTTTTTAAAAGAGAAACAAGCAATAAACAGCCGACTCAGCCCTCTAGCTGCAAACAAGAAAACTGCTGCAAGCAGCAAGCATACAAGAGGGTTAAACCCTTAGCTGTTATCTACTTCTTAGTTTTTCCCGAGTCTTCTTCTCTTTTACCTCTTAATATTCAATTAAAATATCTATTTTACTCAATTTATAAACGAAAAAACAGACACACAAAGAATCTAACACGCACACATACAGTAAACCCCTAAACCCTAAACCCTAAACCCTAAACCATTACACGCCGATACCCTCCAGCCAGCAGCACCGTGCAGCAACTAGCTGTCGCTTTTTCTCCTAAATCCTAAACCCTAAACCCTAAATGTATGAGTCCTTCACTCTCCAACAAACCATTAACAACTCATATCCAGTTCATGAAACCCTAAACCCTAAACCCTAAACCCTAAACACCCCGCTTCTGGTGTACGCACGCAACAGGGCCTCCGGTCTCCAGACTTCCTCGCCATATAAAACTTAAGCAGGGGCTGCATGCGCCTTCTAAACCCTAATTTTCCTTTACATCACAAACCCTAGACACTATTGACCCTAAACCCTAAACCCTAAGCCCTAAACCCTAAACCCCAGCCTGACTTTTTCGGAAGGTGTGCGGTTTGTGGAGCCGCTGGCTTCTAGGGTTTAGAGTTTAGAGCGTCAGGTTTTGTTCAATGGTTATTATTAGTATGTGCTCGTACTGTGTCTCTCTCTCCACTTGCTTAGGTTTTAGGGTTTAGGGTTTAGGGTTTAGGGTTTAGGGTTATCTGGCTGTGAGTACTGCTGAGTCTACCCAGCTTCCCCGCTCAGCAGAAGCGCCCGTGCTGACCTGCTGTCGATTAGGGTTTAGGGTTTAGGGTTTAGGGTTTAGCCAGATGATCTGCATAAAAGATCAAAAGGAAAACCTTAATAAAGCATAGTTATATTTCTGTTTTAAACTGCCGGACTAGAAAAACAAAAAGACAAAATAAAACAAAAAGAAAATATATAAATAAATGAAGACAGAGACAAGCAGAGATATATATTCTCTCGTTTTTATTTGTTTATTGTCTTTCTCTGCTCTTTTTTCGTCGCTTCTCTGTCTCTTCTTCGGCTGTCTCTGTTCTTTTTCTTCTCTTTCTTTTTATCTTTTTATTATTTGTCGTTTGTCTATCCATGCACCTCCTGTATTTGTAATTAAAAAGAATTATTAAATCTTTTAAGAATATATTATTACACAAAACTTAACTAGAAATATAGCGCAGCCCTTACTTAAAGTTAAATATCTTTAAGAACTTTCTCTCTCATCTTTTACTAAACATTTATATCATAGACCAATGCATTATAATATTTATATTGTTTATTAGAAATTGTTTAATAATATATATATATATATATATATATATAAGTATATATTATATATAAGAAAGATAATAAAAAGATAAGAGAAAAGTAAGAAAGAGCAATCTTTTTATTATCTTTCTATTGTTCTCTTTTTGTTATTAATTATATTTTTATTATCTTTTTATTTTTTTAGTTATCTGTTTATTATCTGTTTATTTTTTTAATTATATTTCTCTTCTGTTGCTCTTCTCGCTCTCTTCTTCGAGGCATACGCTTAGACAGACAAACAAGCTGCAGCACAAAAATATCTGTTTGCTGCTGCTTTCTGTCTCTCTTTATTTGCTGCTGCTCTCTCTCTCTTTTTATTTGCTGCTGCTCTCTGTCTCTCTTTATTTGCTGCTGCCCTCTGTCTCTCTTTTTTTGCTGCTGCTCTCTCTCTTTATTTGCTGCTGCTCTCTCTCTCTTTTTATTTGCTGCTGCTCTCTGTCTCTCTTTATTTGCTGCTGCTCTCTGTCGCTCTTTCTTTATCTTTCTTCTTGCTCTTTTCTACGTTACGCAGCAACTAATAAAATAAATAAAACAAATAAATAAGCAGATACAAACGAATAAATAAGTAAAACAAATAAATGAACATATATGCATGCATAAATATATAAACGAGCAAACAAATAAATAAACAAATAAATAAAAAATAAACAAATAAACAAATAACCAGTCAACAACTCCTCCACACGTCTCAGACAACTCAGGGGCCCCCTGAGGGGCCCCTTAGATAGCCCTTGTGGGTCTTAAGAAAGATGTTAGGGTTTGCCGCTGACCCCTTCGTAAGCACCTGCAACTGCTGCAGCAGCAACTGCTGCAGCAGCAACTGCAGCAGCAGCAACTGCAGCAGCAGCAGCAGCAGCAGCAGGAAGGAGTCAGACAAGGACAGTTTCGTATTTCTTTCTTCGTCTTTCTCTGCATGCAGATAGCGCCTCTTGCAACCTCCAAACCCTTAAAGGGCCCTCATCACCCCTAAACCCATTCAAACCCTCAAATGAGGGGCCCCCATAAGCAATACCCCACAGGGGGCCCCCATCTGTAGGGCCCCCACATGCAGGGGCCCCTGAAGTCCCTTGGGGGCCCCCTGGGGGCCCCCCTTGGGAAGCCCCCCTTGAGGACACCTGTTGGGGGGCCCCCATTGGGGGCCCTTCGTGGGGGACCCCCCTTGGGGTCCCCTGTTGGGGGGCCCCTGTTGGGGACCCCTCGTGGGGGCCCCCCATTGGGGGCCCCTGTTGGGGGGCCCCTGCTGGGGGCCCCTCGTGGGGGCCCCTCATTGGGGGGCCCTGTTGGGGGGCCCCCCTTGGGGGCCCCCCTGATGGAGTTGTTATTTGGTTATTTTGTTTGTGGTTTGCGTGTTGATCGACAAATACATCAGCGAATTCACAGCGAAGAAGATCTGCTGCTGCAGCGTCAATAGCCTGAATAAAAAGTAAAAGCAAAAATAGCAAATAAAACTAAAAGACATAAAATAAAAAGAAGAGATAGAGTAAGAACAGAAGATAAAAGACAAACAAATAAAAGAAGAAGACGATCAAAGAAAAAGAGACAGATGAAGAAGGAGAGATAAAAGAATAATAAATAATACAAAAACAGATATAAAGTGCCATAAACCCTAAACCCTAAACCCTAAACCCTAAACCCTAAACCCTAAACCCTAAACCCTAAACCCTAAAAAGAGATTAAAGAACAAGAAGAGATAACAGGAGGAGGCACGTAAACAAGAGAGACAAATAAACAATTAAAGAAAAAAAGAGACAGTAAAGCGACAAAGCGAGACAGCAACAAAGAAGAGACGAAGCTAAAAACATAAACCCTATACCCTAAACCCTAAACCCTGAAGACTAAACCCTAACCCGTAGACCTAATCCCAAAGACACAAATCCTAACCCCTAAACCTTAAACCTTAAACCCTATACCCCAACCCGTAAACCCTAAACCCTAAACCCTAAACCCCAAACCCTAAACCCTTGAAATACCTCTGCTTCTTTCAAGAGAGCGCCCGCTGCGGGTCTAATTGTCGCGATGTGTTTAATTAGGGTTTGTGCTGTTTTTTTATTTATAGTTGATTTCAATATCTTCTCTTCTTTTAACTCTTCTATCTCTATTGCTGCGGGTTCTCCCTCTAGTCCATCAGGCAGCAGCATAAACAAATAAGGAGCAGCAGCAGCAGCAAACTTCGAACCCCCTGAGCCTGGGGGCCCCCCAGGGGGCCCCCTTGGGGGCCCCCCTGGGGGCCCCTGTCTATTTGCTGCTTCTCCGATATCGCATATCGCCACAGGTAACTCTATGCCATGCTGTCTGCATGCAGCACAAAACCCTAAACCCTAAACCCTAAACCCTAAACCCTAAACCCTAGAGCGTAGAAAACACGTTTTATGCGGCGGGTTTTTGCTGGTCGCTGCGTGGCGTCTTCACGATGGGTTTAGTGTTGAAAGTTTAGGGTTTAGGGTTTAGGGTTTACCTGAGGAGGAGGGCGACCTCCGTGAAGATGCAGGCTGCAGTGTGGGCCCCGAAAGCAGCAGAGTTTAGCAGCAGCAGCAGCACTTCATAAGGCTGTTCTACAAGCTGCTGCAGCTGATAGAAGTGCAGCAGCAGCAAAACAGGAAGGTTAAAGCGCTCCTGAAGCTTTAAAGATGCTGCGTATCTGATGCGCACAGAGACATATAAACCCTAAACCCTAAACCCTCACATACGTACATAACCACTCTGACGGTCTAGGGTTTAGGGATGAAGGAGTCGGATTTAGTTAGGGTTTCAGGGGTAGGGATTGGGGCTTAGGGTTTGGGAGTTAGGGTTTAGGGTTTGAGATTTGGAATTTAGGGTCTAGGGTTTAGGGTTTAGGGTTTAGGGTTTAGGGTTTAGGGTTTAGGGTTTATGAAGGGCCCCACAAGCTGCCCCGCCGCTCTTGCATTTTTTTGCGGTGGTAATGGGCGAGACAAAGAGGGGCAGCTAACATACACCCGAAGAAAAACCAAGGAAGCACTGCACGCAACGCAAACCCTAAACCCTAAACCCTAAACCCTAAACCCTAGACCCTAAACCCTGAATTCCATGTCCGACCAGCAGCTTGTTGCTGCAGAGTTTAAGCAGACATTTCAAACGAATCCCCTTGCTAAGACAAGAAGCCCGCTCAGCTAACTAGGGTTTAGGGTTTAGGGTTTAGGGTTTATTATACCGGTGAAGAGTATCTGAAACCGCTGTTCTTCCTTCGTTAGTTTGTGCGGCTCCAGCAGCAACGCACTCGGGTCCCGGGGAGGCAAATAGCGATCGACAACCCCCCCTGAAACAAACCCTAAACCCTAAACCCTAAACCCTAAACCCTAAACCCTAGCCCTTATACAAACCACAGGAGGGGCAGGGTTTGTTGGTACCTCCGCCGGTTTTTTTATAAAGGGAAACGGAACCTCAGACTTGGCGCAGCAGCAGTCATTAGGGTTTAGGGTTTAGGGTTTAGGGTTTAGGGTTTAGGGTTTACCTGGCAGTGTTAACCCCTGCTCCCTAAAAGAGCGGAGGCGGTTTTCGCGGGCCTCCTCCAGCGTCTTCGGTCCCTGCAACGCCCACAACCCCAAACCCTAAACCCTAAACCCTAAACCCAATCCCTAAAACCCTAAACCCTAGACCCTAGACCCTACGCCCTAAATCATAAGCCCTACCCCCAAACGATAAACCTTAACCCTAAATCCTTTAACCTTAAACGTTAAACCCTAAACCCTAAACCCTAAACCCTAGCTCACCAGATCCTCAAGTGTTTGAATTTTATCTTCAGGAAGCGCTGCAAGTGCTTCTGAGTTTACCCTGTCTATAGGTTTCAATGAGGGGCCCCCGTGGTCGGTTGATTTGCTGCTGCAGAAGCAGCGGGGGGCCCCCAAATCGCGGTGTACAGACACATCAACACCCAGCATAGAGCTGCTGCTACACTGAGGGGGGCCCCCAAGTAAACCCTTCAAAGATAGGGGGCCCCCTAGAGGGGCCCCCACAGGGTACAGCACAGGGAAGAGGGGGGCCCCCTGGGACGAGAAAGGTAAATATGATGTAGCTGTTGGGGCTGCATGCGCTGGTGGGGCTTTTCGGGTGTACGTACACCTGAGTGGGCCAGCAGCAGCAGCAGCAGCAGCAGGAGGGCAAGCAGGGTCGCCCCTAGGGTTTAGGGTTTGAGGGTTAGGGTTTATGAAACACAGATGAAGACGCGCATGCAAGGGTTTGTGCTGCTGGGGGCCCCCAGAATATCGGGGGCCCCTGAAGAGCAGCAGCCGCCGCATATGGAGGTCTGACTGCTGTACGTAAACCCCCTCCCCTAAGCCTAGGGTTTAGGGTTTAGGGTTTAGGGTTTAGGGTTTAGGGGTATGAATGGCTGATATAAATGAAAATATTACTTTAAAAAAACAACAAACCCTCATTAAAAATCAAAGACAAACACAAAAAGATCAGAGAGCCTTCTTCATTGTCTGCTCCCATTTGAGCTGTACATACACCCTAAGCCTTCTTCTTCATCTTCTTAAACAAATATTTAAATACATCTTCTTCTTTTTATAAATTCAATAAAAACAAGAACAATGCTGCATTCACCTATCAAGGGGCCCCCACTGGGTGGGGGGCCCCCCAGGGGGCCCCCAGGGGGCCCCTTCATACAACATTTGCTGCAGCAATTAATATAAACCCTCTCTAGATAAAGTTAAGCTTCTGCTGCCGCATTAATATATTTATAATAGAGCTTAGAGGGGCCTCTGCCTCAGGAGACCCTTAAGGGATCCCCCAACCAATATTTAGGGTTTAGGGTTTAGGGTTTAGGGTTTAGGCCGAGCTGGAGCGAGAAATAATGTGTTGCTGTTAGCGCCGCACTTGAGAGCGAGGGTTTAGGGTTTATATATGAGGGGTAACGGCTGAGCTTTTGGGCTTGAGGTCTAGGGTTTAGGGTTTAGGGTTTAGGGTTTAGGATTTAGGGTTTAGTGTTTGAGGCCTCGGGTGCTTCTAACCCCAGGAAGGTTGCCTTGAGCTGCAGATGAGTAGAGTTCGAGGGTGTACAGCTAGTATCTAGGGTTTAGGGTTTAGGGTTTAGGGTTTAGGGTTTAGGGTTTAGGGTTTAGGGTTTAGGGTTTGAGGGAGAAGGGCTCCTTAGCCACCGTCTCTGAAGATGCAAGAGAAGGTCTAGGGTTTAGAGTTTAAATGGGGGTCTTCGCTCTTCCTGTGCGCGAGCACCTCATTAAGCAGTAGCTGACGCTTCTCAAGGCTGCATCTAGCTAGCTAGCTCTCTACCTACCTAGCAAGCTAGCTAGCTAGCTACCTACCTTGCTAGCTAGCTAACTAGCTAGCTAGCTAGCTAGCTAGCTACCTAGCTGGGTGTCGCGCAGCAACTCTCGAGGCACGATGAAGGAGGGAGCAGTTCTTTTATTTGTTTTTGTTTTTGATTTCTATCGAAATAAAACAGCCCCTTGTTTTCCCAGACCTTGAGGAGGTACGTGTCTAGCTAGCTAGCTAGCTAGCTAGTTAGTTAGCTAGCTAGATAGATAGTTAGTTAGATGTCTAGCTAGCTAGCTAGCTAGACATCTAACACCCACGTACGCTCGCCTATGAGGAGGCTCATTAGTAGGGAGTGTAGCTAGCTAGGTAGGTAGTAATGCAGCTAGTTAGTAAGCTAGCTAGCTAGTAATGTAGCTGGCTGTCAAACAAGCTAGCGAGTGGTGTAGCTAGCTAGTAAGCTAGCTAGCTGGCTAGCTAGCTAGCTAGTATTTTATGTCTGCTGCTGAGTTGCTTCGAGATAAGAGTTTTATTCTTCGCTGTCCCTCTGTGTTGTGCTATAGCAGATAGCCTACTCTCCAGCTAGCTAGCTGGCTAGCTAGCTAGCTGGGTAGCTAGCTAGCTAGCTATGCCCCCCAAATGAAACGTTTGATGCCTCCGTCGCATTTGGGGGACAGGAAGAGAAAATCCTTTAATGCTGCAGCAGCAGCAGAGCTGCTGCTGCTGCTGCTGCTGCTGCTGTAGCTGCTGCTGTCGCTGCTGCTGTTTGCTGCTTCAGGTGCTGCTGCTACCCCTGGTTTATTAGAGAGCAGGTTTACGTGTTCGTGTTTTGTTATTTATGTTGCTGCATGCATCTGAGGTGTATATGCAGCTCGACTAGTAATGTGTGTATAGGCATCTTTAAGAAAATAAATTAGAGGGGTGTGGTCTCAACCCTTAAGACAGCTTCGGTGCTTAGATACAATCAAACCCTAAACCCTAAACCCTCATTATTTATTGAGGTTTTATCGCTTGCGTGTGCAGCAGCAGCAGCAGCAGCAGCAGCGGCACCAGCAGCAGCAGCAGCAGCAGCAGCAGCAGCAGCAGGTAGGGGCCCCCTTGCTGCAGCATTGGGGGGCCTCCAGGTGGTTACGGGTGGAATAATAATGTCAGTGTAGATGAGGGTTTTGAAATAAAATAAAAATAAAATAAATAAAATTATAAAGAAAAGAAATGTGTTGAAGGCATGCATATATAAAGACTTTGCTTAGGTGTACGTACACCCCAAATAACCTTTACTTTTATATCCGTAGGACCAGCATCATTTCTCTGATTTCTTTTATTATTTTATTCTTCAACTTGTAATACTATAAAACCCTAAACCCTAAACCCTAAATCCTATATTATTAAACCCTAAACCCTAAACCCTGCACCAGAAAACACCCTGAGGTTCCTCAGCAGACCTGTGTGTCAGCTTAGGGTTTAGGGTTTAGGGTTTAGGGTTTAGGGTTTGACTTTGAGCGGGGAGTTCCCCTGCGAAATGGGTTTGTTTAGTCATCATAGGCGGCCTTATTGTTTATCTGCTGCTGCAGCAGGAAGCCCTGCTGCAGCAACTTCGGGTGTATATGCAGCTGGTGTGAGGAGGCTTTCTATATGCCCCTTCGCATTAAAAAAGATATATTTTACAGATTACTCTAAAGAGATGAATCAAGAAAATATTCAAGATGAAGATGACATTGAAGCCCTTGGTGCTTTCTTTCGTCATGTAGGACAGACAGTAGAAGCAACTAAAGATAAATACCTCTGGGTACCCAAACCCTAATAAACCCTAAACCCTAAACCCTAAACCCTAGCGAGTCAACCCTTACCGATAATATGCACATACACCGCAACGTGTGTGTCTCTCCCCTCTTTTTTTTGTATCTGCTGCATGCAACTACAACACACGCGCTATAAAACCACTCAAGGGTTTAGGGTTTAGGGTTTAGGGTTTAGGGTTTAGGGTTTGGGGTGTACGTACAGCAATTCCGAATCGCTGGCGTTTTTCATCAAGTTGAGTTTTATAATTCAAAACTTTCAGGAAGAAAAAAAATACTTGTGGATGGGCGGCTTGTCTACGCTCAGCAGCAGTAAACCCTAATAAACCCTTATAAACCCTAATAAACCCTTTTAAACCCTAATAAACCCTTGTAAACCCTCTTAAACCCTTTTTTATGCCCCTTCAAACCCTAATAAACCCTCTTAAACCCTTTTAAACCCTTTTTTAACTCTCTAAAACCCTCATAAACCCTAATAAACCCTAATAAACCCTCTTAAACCCTCTTAAATTCTTTTAGACCCAACATCAGCAGCAGCAGGAGCAGCAACATCATCCGCAGGAGGAGCATCAGCAGCAGGAGGAGGAGGAGATGCCTTTGATTGTTTTGGGGCTTGCATGCGCATGCGAGTTTGTTGATAACTTTGTTTGTCTTAGGCTGCGGTCTGCTGGCTTTGAATTCTCCTGGCCTCTGAAGGGCTATCTTTTTAGCGTCGTCTTCGATCAACAGAGCAAAGGCTTCGCTCTTCGCATCAACGGGCTTCCCTTTCAGCTATTCTACAGGCGTGAGGGTTTAGGGTTTAGGGTTTAGGGTTTAGGGTTTAGAAACCCATGATTATTGCAAACTCTTAGAACCAACTGCTTAAGACCTGGGGCAGAAGGCTGGCTGTCTATGCATATATATATATATATATATATATATATATATATATATTATAT